TTTGAGAACAGATTGCACGTCCGCATCCACGCCGCCTTAGCCTCCCTGAGGGAAGTGGTTCCACAGTGACAAACAGGAACTCCTCTTACCCATTCCCACAGTTTCTGCACTTTAAGATGAAGCAGAAGGAAAAGCTGTTGGGAAGAGCAGCTTTTCTTCTGAAAACCACTTGTGCCAGAGACACTTTCCTAGTATGCTCAGCGTTGGTATGGCGTAGTAAAACGTGACAGTTGTAACTAAATCCACCAGGCAGGAGGTGAAGTGACCTTGTGTTTTTAACTCTTCAGTTTTTATTTTGTTTAAGATGAACACAGTTGTTTGTAACTCTGTGGGTGAGCTAAAGAAGCACACGTGACTGACTTCAACAAAATTGGCAAGTGTAGTGGGTTTTTTTTACCTTTTAAGATAAATCTAGATCTAAAATGCACCAACAGGAGCACTTCTGTTTTAATTAGAATAATACAAGGGAAGGAAAGGGTGGAAATGTTGAAGTTGGGAATGGTCAGAACACTTTTATTTCAAGCATTAGCCAGTACACAGGAGGAGGAAAACTTCTGCCACAAAAAGTAGATCTTATGAAATTCTGGTGTCTTATGTCAGTGACTTCATGATCACTGCTGTGTGAATTTTAAGCCCCATATCCCCTTCCTTTGACATTCCTTCCCTCCCAGCCCTGCTCATACTTGTGCTATAAATGACATCACTATATAGTTTGTATCAGTATATACTTTGACATCCAGTTGCAGTGTGGGCAGTTCTTAAGTCTGCTCTTAATAATCTGAACATCATGTTAAAACACATAGGCCAGATACAGTAATTTTACATATTTTTCATCCAAGCTGTTGATGCTTTACAGCAGTGACCTTTAAAGGTATTAAAAAAACCAAACAAAACCCAAAAATCTACTTCAAAGTACATCTGAGAACCTAAAACTTTTTATCATGACCATATAATTGTTGATACTTGGCCCTTTGTGTGCTCACCTGGCTTTTTTTTTTGGTACTTTTGTCTGTAATGTGTAGTATCTCCTTATGTTTTCTATATTCAGTCAGGATCATATTCTAGGAAGGTAAATATTTTTTTAAAGAAGCTTATGAATGGAAATCTGACCAGAAAGTTAGTTGATGTGTTCCTTTGCAAAGCTAAGAAAACTGGATATCCTTGGGAATAGTTATCCAAAAGCCTTATCTTTACTCTGGTCAGGTTGCCTTAAACAGTTCCTTAGCTTAAACTTATTTTTTTTTTCCCCCTCTTACTTTTATTTTTGTAGAATATGTTGCCAGAGCTTTAGACCTTGCCCACACCTAACCTTCATTGATTTGCTTTTGAGGTTGCACCTAAAGCAAGACTGATATGGAGGAGAAAAGTCACATCCTACTTGGTAGGCCAGGTGAAGGGGTTGAGACACTTCCTTGTCCCTAGAAATGCCCAGTTCCTGCAATGAAAGGCATGCCTGGAGCAGTTCAGCACTTCTGTTGTGGTTCCTGAAGGAGAGGAGAGACTCTTTAACTCCTAAAAAGCAGTTTTATTTTCCTGCAATCTAGGTGTGTCACAGATTGTTTGGGTTTTACTCAACTGTTTGGGTTTTACTCAACTTTGACAGTAGTGTTGAGTCATAAATGAGTGTTCAACCTTATTTGGTCAATCCAGATAAGTATTGACTAGAAAACAATATATTGTGTATATATAGTGGTTACTTAGAATTCAAATAATGTTTTTTTTTTAAAATGGGCTTTAATGTACTTGAAATCTTCTTTTGTCTTCTCTGACTTCTCATGTTTTGCAATCAAGAGACACAGTTTGGCTTAAGTCCAACGTGAGGCTAGGCTCCTTGAGGGCACCAAGCACCTGCATGCCATTTCTGTTGGGAGATGTAGGGTCTGCATACTCTGGAGGTAGCTAGCAAGCTGTAGTACACTTCCTACAAGGCCTCTTGTCCTTCTGCAGGCCAGGAGTGGGTGTGGACACTAAATATTCATGGAGCAGTTTGATCTCTGTGCAAATCGCAGCTTTTCTGTGGCTTTAGCGAGTCACCACTGAAATAAAACTCTTTCTGGGTCATTTTCTTTCTCCCTTCCCCTCGTAGGAGACTCTCCTACATTGTAAATGTCAAAATGGGTTGTTTTTAATGTTAGATTGTGCCTGTGATGAGAAAAGGGAACTGTATTTTGTGTAAACTGAGGAGTTTTTCTACTTTGGAACTCGGAGGCATGGTCTAATAGCAATAATGGAATATGCATCTTGCTGGTTCATCTGTTCAGACTTTCCTGGGTCAGGTATTTTTGTTGATGGTGATGCAGTTTTTATCTCAATAGGACTCATTTCAAAGAACTAGACTTTTTGGGTGTCACGAGGTGGCATATTTATTGTGATGTACTGTAAATGTTCATTTACAGAACTTGCACTTTTATATTTCTGTGTCAAATTCAACGAAACGTGGACATGAGTTTTGTTCCCTTGCTCCTCAAATTTCAATTGGTGGCCTCCTGCACAAGAGGATAATTAAGTATTGGGAAAACTTCTGGGATGTCAAGTGACTCTGTAACAGTTTTCTAGTCAGCAATTACCTCAGCCTCTGTTCTTCCAGTGTAATTACAGTCTCCTGGTTTAGAAAGTGAGTTACATGTGTCATGTTGAGATCAACCACGGAGTGAACAAGGTATAAGATGTATTTTTAAGACATCAGATTTACTTGTTCTTCATTAAAGAAAAAGAACCACACACACAATTGTATTTGTTGTATTCCTACACCTTTGAAAAATGTTTCTAGTTTACTTTAAAGCAAGCACTTTAATTTCTCCTCTCTCTGACTTCAACTGCTCGTTTCATACTCTAGTTATGCTTTATTCTTAAATAAAACTGCCCAAATGTTGTATGGAATTGCTCTTCAATTTACAGCTGTCTCATTCTTGCCAGGGATTGTACTCGTGTTTAAAAACTGCCCTGTTAGAAGTCAGAACAGGAGCAAACATCAGGTTGGAGCCCAAACCAACTATTTTGTCTTTTTGGTAGGCAAAGCAAGGAGATTTTCCCTGAGATTTTTGTGTATCTTGGAATTCTGCTGAAGTCTGTGGCAGGTAGGACAAAAAAAAGATGGTGCTTGCAGAGAGTTCAACTGGTCTTCTGTCCATTTGTGGTTTGAATGTGTTTGCAAGTCAAAACCAACCAAACCCTGAGTGCACCCCGTTCATTAACCCCCTTTATTAACCTGTTGTGACTTAGCTAATGAAGAGTTAATGAATTACCTGATTTTTTTTTTTTTTTTTTCTTTTGGCAGAAAAATAAGACTTATCTGGGACCTTGATTTGATGAACTTCTGCCCCATCTCTTATCTCCTAGGACTTTAACATTGTCTGGAAGCTGTTAACTCCTGCAGGTGGGACAAGGTAACTACCTTCAGTTGGGCAAACTGCCTGACAGGCTCTTTAGTTTGGGGCTGAAGGGCAACTTGTTTGAGCACAGTGGCTAGTACAGCTCCTCTGGATGGCTCCCAAAACCAGCACTCAGCTTCCAGCACAGTGAATTAATTTCCAGATGTATTTTTTTCCTGTAGCTCTTAAGTTTCAGACAAACACACTTCTATTTTAGGGGCTGAAGGCTTTTTAAATATTTAAGGAGGTTTATGCTGCTTTTACCTCTGAGAATGTTTTCCTGTGGTTTATGACATCTGTCCTCAAACATTTTGAGGCTTTTGCTGTGCTTTGCAGACTAGAGGATGGTCTCAGAGTGGAGCCAGGACTGCCTTTGCACCCAGGTAGGTGTGAAGTATGTGTAAAGTCCTCTTGCTTCTGTGTAGAAATCTAGATTTCAGATCACTGTACCAACTCCAGAAATTCTACAGTTTCCAGGCCTCAAATACTCTTGAAGTGTTTCTTACTCTTCCTGTAGGAAAGCTGTTCTTAATTTTGTAAGTTACAGCATATCCATGTTGAACTTTTTTTAATGTTATGGTCTGTGTTGTCACTCTCCAGGACTGATGAGCTGTTGTGAGAAGTTTTCTTAATGAGAAACTACTTCCTAAGGGTTCTTTTATGTAAGAATCCTTTTTGTGCTGAGTTTACCATTAACATACTTCCCAGTGAACTAACTTGAGAGTGTCTTAAATCTTCAGTGCTGCTGGAACCCCTTGGGTTTTGGTAGGCATGCAGACCTCCAGGAATGCAAGAGCAGGTAGGCAGGTGATGCTTTTCCAGCTTCCATGAAGACTGAGCTGTAGCATTGTTGGTGGAGAGAAGGTTTTTTATCCCACAGCAGACTCCTGGTCATGGCTTGCCCTGGGATCTTTCTGTCTTCATGACCCTCAGAAACACAGTTGTGGGAACCTTGAGAATTGGGCACTGTACAGCCACCTTTTTTGGGCTTGTTTTTGGAGCAGGGAATGATCTTGTGTGCATCCACTGAAATCTTTTACTGGGAAGCAAGTGGCATCCCTGGGGTTTGTTTGGAGTCGTGGTATGAACAGAGCTGTGCTGAGGGATGACCCCTGTGCTGGAGGTGCAGGCACTGAGCCACCACTTGGATGACACAGGGGCACTGTGATGTCACACCCTCCTGGCTGGGGCAGCTCCAGGAGGCCAGGAACAAGAGAGGGGTGAGGAAGAAATGTCCTGTGGACTCTACTTGAACACAGATGGCTTTTGTGGCTCATGGGGGGGTGCTTGGGTGGGGTTTGTCTGTACAAAAACAGGCATTCAGGTGATGGGTTTGAACTCCCACTGTGGTTCCCTAGGTGGGTGGCTCTGACTGTGCCTTCTGCTGCCTGGAGGTGTGGAGGGGAGTGAAGGGTTTGGCCACTGCAGATGGTAAATACACCCTTGAAGCTAAAGGAGCTTTTGGGGAGAGGTGGAGGAGCCTCGTGTGAGGCCTGGCAAGGGATGAGCAGCTGTGGTTGTGATGTTGGTGTTGGGACACTTCCCACTGGGGTGAAGTAGACAGTCACCTGAGGTCTTTTTTTGTACAGATGGGAAACTTGTAAGCCAGCTTCAGTGGGCAAAGAAAAGATGCAGTCTTCCAAGATGAAGCTGGTGGTTCCATATGGCCTCAGGATCCTGCTGGAGGGGGTGAGCCAGGCTGTCGTCGAGAGCAACCCCAAGGACATCACTCAGTTCTTTGCTCTCTATTTCCAAGAGCTTGTCACCTTCCAGAAAGGTTGGTTCTGCCAGTGGTTCCTCTGAGGAGCTGAGCTGCTGGAGGGCACTGCCCTGCTCCAGCTTCACTCCTGCTTCTGTTCCCAGGGCACCCACATCTGGATCTGACACAACTGGTTGCAAACTTCAACTTCGTTAGTGGTAAGATGGTTCCTGTTTGTTCTTTTAAGGTCTTTGGTGACAGTGTTCTAACCTGAATGGATGCAAATAGCTTTCACTTATTATGGGATGCATCCCTTCCATATCTAATCCAGGAGAGCCTGGCTGCCTTTGGTCATTTGAAGGTGCTGTGGGGTGGTTGGTCACCCCCTAAGCAGATGGATCTTTATGCTTACCCATTCTGGGCCAATAGATATTGTATATGTTTCTAGAGATGATTTTGTTCTGCTGCTGAGTCCTTTGGGGAGTGCTGGGTGTTCTCAGCTGCTCCCTGGGTCTGACTGTGAGGGTTGGAATAACTGGGTTCCAAGTAACCCAAGCACTTGAGACAACCTTGGTCTATAGGTGGAGACTCAGAGTGAGGTAGTTACAGCAATGAGGAGAAGACACAGCTATGAACAGAAAGTGCTACTGTCTTATTCCTATCTTAAGATCTGGAGAGCTTGAAGCAGTTTTCTTCTTGTACAAATGACTGGTGGATGTTGCAGTGTGACTTTATCACCAAAGGCTGAATTTTGGTCCATTTTCAAATGTTAATTAATGATATCATGCAGCAGTTTTTGCATAATCATGAATCATAGAATGGTTTGGGTTGGAAGGGACCTTAAAGATCATCCAGTTCCAACTTTTCCTCCCCTCCCATCCCTCTAGATCCCTTATCCATCCAGTTCTGAGGTGTTGCACAGAGGAGCCCTGGTCTTCTGGCTGCCTTATCTGATGAGCTTGGTGTGAAAGGTTTAATCTTTTAACCCCTCTGTGCAGCAGTGTTTCTAGGCAGCAGGAAAGAGAGTGGGCATCACAACAGGAACTGGGGTACAGTTAAGGCTTCCAAGCTTCTGAAGTGGTACCACTGCTCTCTGAATTTTCTTCCCCTTATTGATAGGCAAGGAGGAAACCTCCTCAGATGATTCCATCCCCACAACCTGGGGAGCCTCATAAATATCCTCTAGAGCATCTAACTGACTTGGTGCTGAAATTATTCATTTGATTTAAATGGAGCTAGTTGCTCACGTGTTGCCATCATCTGCTTTTGCCTTGCAGGGAGTGGGAATCACAGCCTGGAGAAGACAGCATCAGAGTTCACAGACACTCCCTCTTCTGGGGAGCCCGAGCAACAGGACAAGTCTACTGACACAGAGGAAGACCACATCCTTGAGGAACCTGATATTCAGCATAGCTCCAAAGCAACTCAGCAGCCCTCGACCACCAGTTGCATTGCAGAGAGCAGATGCCCCCCCGGGTCTGGTGGAGCTTTGTCCCCTGAGGAACCCCAGCTGGCCTACGTCCCTGCCCAGCCTGCCCAGCTGGCTGCCCACCTCCTAGGTAACACTCCTCCCCATTACTCTGTCAGGGATGTGGCCACCAGCGTGCAGACCCTGCCTGAAGACTCTCAGGCCTCAGAGGATGAATTGACACCCATAGACAGTGCTGCTGAGGATGCTGCTGCTGGCCCGGGAGCTGCTGGGTCACCACCAGCAGAGCAGAGTCAGTCCCCTGCAGCTGGAGAGCCAGGGCCCTCGGGCAGCCAGCTTGAGGTGTTGACAAACGATGTCAGTGAAGCTTCCCGGGTCCCCTCGTGGGAAGAACAACCCCCCTCCCCTCCTTCAGCCCCACTGCAGGCTGTGCCTCCCTGCCACAGAGCTGAGGGGACCTCCCCCACCGACGCCGTGCCACGGGGCTGCCGGGATGAGCCGCTGCTGGAGGAGGCAGAGGCCCCACCCTACGTAGAGCAGTTCCCACAGAAAATAGTCATTCCCTTTGCACACCAAACCACTTACCTGTTAAAGACTGAGCAGCCAGGGGGGGCAGGGCAGGGCTTGAGCACGACAGCCTCAGGTGGAGCTGCTGCTGGTGTAGTGGAGTCATCCTGAGCGAGCGGAACCTGCGGCACGAGGGGGATCAGCAGAGCAAGTGTGTGTCCTGCCAGGTAAGAAAGCTCGAGGGGTTTGTGTCACCTGCCAGTGGCAGCTTCCAGCTCTCCAGCTTCCTCAGCAGGGATTCGATGGAAAAGCACCTAGGTCAGTGTGGTGCAGGGTGGAGAGGGCTCCTGAGAAACTGCTGTTACCAGCACGGGCTGCTTGGCCCCAGCACGTGTGTTCCATCTGCTCCAGGAGCTGGGGCTGGCTCTGGGCAGGACTCCTGTGCCCCTGTGGACAAACAGGCAGGGAAGAGCCATGGGAAGGTGCCCATTGTCACCCAGTGGGCTTGCCCAAAACAAGCCATGCTTTTTGAAGCAGGTGTTGGAGACCTGAGATGCAACACACGTGCCCTGGGGCTGGAGAGCCCTGGTTTTGATTCTGCTCCCCTGAAGGATCTTGTATTCCAGCACTGACCTAGGAGTTTTTTCATTTAGAAAGAACGTGGTGGTGGTTGCCTCTGCTTCCTGGAGCTTGGCAGGTCCTGCAGCTGGGCTGAGTGGGCTCAGCACTGGTCACCAGTACCACACAGGGGAGCTGCTGCTCATCCTTCATTTGAGGCTCTCACCAGCATCTCGTTCCTGTGGTGACCTGTGCCCAGCTCCTCCCTTGCCCAGCTGGAGAAGCCCCCCCAGGGGGTGGAGCTCCCTTGCTCGAGTCTCCCTAGTCCTGCAGCAGCTCTCCAGGCCCTGCCCCAGGCCCCAGCAGCAGCATAGCTGTGAGCTCTCAGCAAAGCATGTTGTAGAGGGGAGCTGAGCTTCACCAGATTTTTAAATTGGCTGTTTTTGGGGAGGAAAAAAACCCCAACCAAACCAAACCCTCCAAACTTTTGGAGGAATTTAACAAATTTCAGTTTCAGAAATAACAGATAATACCCAGAAGAGCCTCTGGTCTGACCACAAAGTTGCTTTTTGCAGGCTGTGGGTGTTGCTCAGCCACATGGGTCAGCTCCCCCAGCTCCCTGCTGCAGCATGCTTGTTTTTTGCCAGGCTTAGGGTTAGACAAGGGCTCTGACAGTGACTGGCATTCCCTGCTCCTCACACCAGCACTCTCCTTTTGTCTTTGTAGCCATGGCATCAGGAGAAGCAGGACAGCCACCCCCACCTTCTAACCTCTGGACCCTCTATTGCCTAACTGACTTGAGACAAGGTCACAGCTCCCCACCACCTGCTGCTAGAGCTGGGGGTCCCTCCCCTCAGGCACCCCTCGCTCACCCCGGGGAGGAAGAGGAGCAGAGCCTGCAGCTGTCACAAGCATCAGCTCCCATTTATGTGATGCAAGACAAAAGCAGGAGGGGAAAGGCTCCACCCTTGATCTTGGTGGGCTCCAGGGTGCGCACCCCTCGCTCACCCCGGGGAGGAAGAGGAGCAGAGCCTGCAGCTGTCACAAGCATCAGCTCCCATTTATGTGATGCAAGACAAAAGCAGGAGGGGAAAGGCTCCACCCTTGATCTTGGTGGGCTCCAGTGTGCAGCCCCCCCAGGGCTGGGAGCCCCTCCCTGGCCACGCTGTCTTTGCAGGGCAGGGGGCAGGGGCTAGGAGGAGGTTCATGACCCTCCCAGTGCCCGTGGCCAGGCCAGCTGCTGAGGAGACAGAGGAAGGAGGAGCTCAGCCAAGCCCACCCCCTGTGCTCTCCGTTGCCATCCCTCTGGATGATGTTGGTGTCTGCCAGGAGAGGTTCAGCAGCACACACAGGTAGAACTGCTCGTGCAGAAGGTTCTGGCACTGGGGGTGGCTGTCACAGCACAAGGCTGAAGGAGTCATGCAGAGGGAAGTGCTAGTGGTTTGGATTTTACTGCTGAAAGCTTAATTTAACCTCTTTCAAAATAAGATTTAAGACCAGTAGTTAAACTGCTTGTCATACATGAGACCTTGATGCCTTCCTCTGCTTGTTACACTTTAATTAACACTACCAGATTCAAATCAAGTTCAAATCAACTCAAATCCCAGATTTGAAGCTGTTGTACACATCTTCATGCCTGCAGCTTGAACGTTCAGCACGTGTGTAACACTCAGATGTGGATTTAAGTGGGCAATCAGAGCAATTTTGGTGCACACCTCCTGAGCTGCTGCTGTTTCTTCACACAGGTTGAGAAGCCAGGCCCTGTGGAATCCAGGAGGAATGTCATCAGCCCAATAAAGTAATAACCACTGCTCCAGCAACTGGCACTGTCTTCCCCTGGTCTTTGTACTTTGCTAGCACAGCACAACATCTGGAATGGTAACTTTGGGTGAGTAAGGAGCCCTGAGACACCTCTGCAGCTGTTTCTTCACTGTGCTCACAGGGTGAATAAGCCCCAGGGATGCTGACAGATGACATACAAGAGGAAGGAGTTCATCTTATCATGATCAACTCACTCCAAGGACAGGTTTACTGAGGAGCACAGCTTAGGTTATGCTTCAAGGAAGGAGATAAAAGGACTTTCACAGCTCCAGCCTGGGCTCTTAAATCAGCCATACTCTTGAAGGGAAGAAGAAGGGTCTAGGAAAAACAAATCTGTTCATTGCTCAAAACAAAAAAGGAGGGGGAAAACCAGGAAGGAGAGAAGAAAAGGACTTTTGCTTTAGTGGTTTCACAGCTCCAGCCTGGGCTCTTAAATCAGCCATACTCTTGAAGGGAAGAAGAAGGGTCTAGGAAAAACAAATCTGTTCATTGCCTTGAAGTAGGAGTAGGTCTAGGAAAAACAAATCTGTTCATTGCTCAAAACAAAAAAGGAGGGGGAAAACCAAATAATGGTGTGTAGAGGTTTCCCCCTCTTTGTTTCTGTGGGCTTTGTTTCTGTGGGACCAGCAGCCCAGCCTGTGGCTACCAAATCCCACCTGAAGCTGCACAGCTACAGTAGGTGCTGGCCAGAACTGAGACTGGAGGGCAGAGATGAGGGTTCCAGGAGAGAGCACAGGTATTAAATTTCTCCATCTGCTGTGAGGAACTGAGCCCTCACCTGAGAGACTGCAAAAGAAAAAGGCTTCCTCTTATCTATGCAAATGCCTCAGCATCATTACCTGGGTAATTCCAGTAGTGCAGAGAGTAAAAATAGACAGGATCTCCTCCCCTCCTTCAGGTGCAGTAGTCCCCCCTCAGGGCTGGAGCTGCAGGGAGGCTGCAGAGCCCTGGGGGAAGCTCTCAGCTGCCCCCTGGCCCTGGGAGCACAGGGAACCACACTCCACAACTTCACTGCAGCAGCATCCACAGCAGCCTCGCTCAGGAGGGGCCAGTGCTGTCCAACACCACTCACTTCAGACTAAGATGGAGGAAGTTTTGAAGCCTTTATTTAGTAGCAATTAAATTATTCAATTAATTACCATTAACCTCCAGGCAGCAAATAAAATATTGTACAAGGAGCAGCTCTGCCCTCTCGAAGCTCTGTACACAATATAAACTTACACTCTGAGATTAGATGCACCCCACTGAACAGGGGTAAAGGGGCTGTGGACAGGAGGCCTCCCTGAGGTGCTGTTGCTGCCTCTGAGATGCACAGACCCTCTCCTCCCAGGGAGCCTGCACACCCCAGACACAGGTCCTGTCCCCCCTGCCACGTCCCACGGGGTCCTGGCCTCTGAGCAGGGTCCTGGCCCTCTGAGCAGGGTCCTGGCCCTCTGAGCAGGGTCCTGGCCTCTGAGCAGGGTCCTGCCTTTTTGCAGCAGTGCTGGGCACCAGAACTTCTAGTGCAGGAGACAGATTCTTTTAAAACCTGTTCTCCTAGTGTGCAGCTGAAATCAGATCTGTAGATATTTCCATGGCTCTTAATTCCTTTAAACCATAAAGTTGGTAGCAAAAAAACAGGAGAGCAAAAAAATAAATCCAAACAACACTGCACAAAACATGGAATAAATATCTCTGAGTAGTTTACCAGCTTTAAACAACTGCATTAATGCTCCAGACATGGGACCTCTTCCAGAATCTCTGAGCAGAGCTCAGGATTCAAGTAAGGAAAAAAAAAAAATCACTTTATGAAAAAATTACATCTTTCCAAAGGTGACACCACCCCCTTCATTGTTCAAGGAGAGAACACTGCCCTTCCTCTGTGCTTGGAAACATTCCCATGTCACAATAAATAAAACCAGTTTTACCTGTGCCAACGTTATCTACAAAAGAAAGTATTCACAGAACAGCCAGAGGGTGTTCTAGTCCACATACACCACAACCTAATATAGGTGTATTCAGCTCAAAACCATGGGGACTTTGTCCACCAGCAGCCAGAAAAATGACTCCCCTACCTACAGGACTGCAGCTCACCTACCACCAGGTTCACTGTGGAGATGCTTCATGGCCTGTTCCATAACATGTCAGTTTTTTTCAGGAGGTAAGTAAAACAAGGGAAACATTAAAACAGATTTAAGACTTATTTGTAATCAGTCACAGGCTCCTTATTGCATTTTAATAAATATCAGGCAAGTTAAAGTAGTTTCTGTCCCAGTAGCTGCCAGAGTAAAGCCAGTCCTGTGTGCCAGTGTAGGGATTGGGGCCTTGGTGGAACCATCTGGAAGGAAACAGAGGGCAGGTCAGTGAAGCTGCTCACACCCCCCTTTGGACAAGTTCAGAACTGCTTTGCTGCCTCTCCAGCAGTTCACTGTCCAATTACTGTGAACTGCAGGAGCCCCTCTTGGCTTTGAATTGAGCAGTGAATTTACAGTCCCCTTCAGTGGGCTGGATCTCCCTCTTCACCACCCTGCTTCAGTGTCTCCTGGGTGAAATCCCTGAAGCAGCCAATCCCATGAGAAAGGACAGGTGCAGTTATTTCAAAGCAGTTGTGAACAACCATTTTAACATGCATACAGCAGGGACAGGTTTTTTGCAAGACATGAAAACACCACAAGCACTGCAGCCCTGAAAACAAAACCAGTCTTTTCCCAGGGTCTAGATCTCCCCTTGGTTTTCACCACCCTCAGAACAAGGGTGCAGCCCCACCCCTGTGTGGCTGAAGTTACCACCCCAGGCTGCAGAAGTTCCTCCTGCCTTACTCTGAAGCCAGTTGTTCCTTTTCATGCCTCACTGCAGTAACTGATGCCTGTATAAAGCAGCCCCCTTTGGACTCAGCTCTCCCCTCAGCACCTTTGGGCCAACTGGGACCAAAAAGCACAAGTGTCATGACCACCAGTATCACAGGGCAGCTCCCAAGTTCAATCAGAAGGAAAGAACCAAGAGCTGGAGGAGACTCAAAGCAATCAGATAACCTAGTGAGGGAAAGGAGAGGACTACTGGCCAGCCTCTAAAACATGAATTGCTTCAGAAACACCAAGACCTGAAACAACCAAGACCCAACTTCTAAAGAGGATTCCAAAGAACAACCTGCTGAGTGGTGTCTGCACTAAATCACACCCCCTGAAAACAGAGCTGCCCCCTGGGAACTCCCCAATTTGCAGTCCCCAGCCTCAGGTGCTTTGAGCTCCACCTTGAGCTACTCCAGGCACCTCTGGAAGAAGTCAGTGTAACCATCCCTTGCTTTGGAAACCTTTGGTGAGAGGCCAGAACCACTCTGCATTCAGGAAAGGCTGCCCAGCACTCCACACCTTGACTTGGAAGCATTACAAAGCTGTTATTTTCCACCCAAACACTTCAGGAGAGAGCAGGCACAGGAAAAAGACAAAGGCAGAGGTGTCCAAACCTGGGACTCTGGGAGGATGGGTGACTTCATTTGAAGAAAAAAGAAAAAGGGATTTATAGTTACAAACAGACATTTTACAAACCCTTAATCCACAGTGTCTGGGTTGATTAGTAGGGAAGAGATGAAGCTTGCTTAGAGAGTTTAGCCCTACCACTGTTTTTTTTCTCCTGTGAAGAGACAACCCATTCATTCCTGTACTTTAAATAGACCAGTTCTGATCAAACCAGATCCATTTGGTCGAGTTTTCAGAGTCTGCTCAGCCTGTGAGAGTTCCCACCTGACTGCTCTCATCTCAGAGTAAACCCATCATCTCCTGGAAGCTCATTTTTTCCAACTTCTGTGGTCAGTAACCCCCTCAGAAAGGGACCTGGCTATCTGGGTGACCCCCTTTGAGCAGTGGGGGTGCAGCAGCACTGGAGGAAGCATTTCCTCCCCTCTGGCCAAGCACCCACAGCTGAGGCAGTTCCAAACCAAGCAGCTCTCAATGCCAACACCTTTTTCACATCAGCAACCAAGAGGTGCCCAGTGACAACAACAGTTTGTACATGAGGAGGGGTGGTGCCAGCAGCAGGAGGGGGCTGCAGCCACAGAGACACCCCCAGAGCCCAGCACTGACCTTGTCTTCCAGTCCTCCTCAGACTTGGAGCGATTCTTGCGGGCGGTCCGTTGTTTTTCCTCTAGCCTCTTCTTTTCTTCACTAGCTAGATCTTGAAGGGATAAAAAGGTCAGGCAATTGAATTCCAGGCTTTTCAGAATGCTAAATACACCTTTGTTTAGGGCCTGAGGGCCCCGAGAACACGTTTATGTGACAGGAAATGTGAACAAGGGGAGGTGGAATACCTGGAGTTTATTTCAGTCAGGGAAATATTAAGATATCCTGGCTTTAGTTCCAAAATTTGGCCACTCACTTCTTGTTAAGGTTTGGGATAAGTTGTTATTAATGCTGCATTTCTTAATAACAGGGGTTTGGAATATTCATTTCCAAACCACAATCATCTCTCTGCAGCATCCCTTCATTCTGTTGTTAACACACATGGGTAGCACAGGTCATGATCCTGAACAAGCAGAAGAGTTGCTCTGGATTGTCAGAAGGTCTGAAGAAGTCAGACTAAGCAGCAGAGCAGGTGAAGGGTCATCTCCTTCACACCTGAATCCTCAACAAGAATTTAATAAATCCAAGGGTACTGAGACATGCTGGCAGAAGTGCTCACCGAGCCACTCCCCCCCACAAAAAAAGTCCGCCCGGAGCCACTCCCCATCACTTAGCAGTGCTGGCTAACTGGGGAGGTCCCACTGGACTGGAGGTTAGTCAGTGGGACACCAGAAGGAAGGGCCAGGAGGAGGATCCAGGGATCTACAGCCCTGACAGCCTGACTGTGGTGCCCAACTCAAGGGGAAGGTGATGGAGCAGAACATCCTCAGTGCCAACAGGTAGCACAGAGGACCCCCAGGTGACCATGCCCAGTCTGCACCAGCAGCACAGGCCCAGCAGCAGAAGGCTCTGCTGAAGAGCTGCTTGTCTTGCAGCACAGGGGAACAGATCTTTATGGGTAGCTTCTTCCTCTAACAGTTCATCTAACAGCTGGAGTGAGGATTTCCCTTTGTTCCCATAAGTAAAAATACCTTTGCCAGTACCTGACTTACCTATTTCTCCATTCTCCATGGCTCTGATGTCTGGCCGTAGCCGGCAGTCGGTTTTGGGAATGACACTCTCCATTTCTTTGTCCAGCTCATTCAAAGCCATGGCAAAGCTGGTAAAATTATACATCTGAAATTCAGAGACAATGACAAAAACAATGAGGTTTTGATGCACCTCTAGCTGCTAGATGTAATCCTCAAGAAAGCTGCTGTCTAGAAACAAACCTGCAAGTGCTTTTTTTATTATTGAGTCACTCAAGATACCAGCAAAAGTGGCCTGTTGGGCAGAGTCCAGGTGGTCCCTGGCAGTTCTTTTTTAAGCAGCCCAGCATCCAATAATGCAGTGCACTATTCCTTTCATCATCTTTTTCCAGCCTTCCTGGTATTTTCCCTGACCCACCAACATCTTTCCTTGTCCCAATTCTTTGCCTTTCCATATTCAACACTCCCCTTGTGTTCTGCCCGCTGGCTCTCCAGCTCCACAGCCCTTCACACACCAACTCCTGCCCTCAAGCAGCTCCTGGGAAGTGTCTGTCTTCTAATCAAACCCTTCAGAAGGTATTTCCACAAGGTAAGCAGGGTGGAGAGGTGGGGAAGCCCCCATTCCACTAGCTACATAAAGCATCCCATTCTCCAGAGAAATTCCACTAGCTCTGGAGTCATGCCTGTGGCAGTTGTCCCTCCAACCCCACACCACAGAGTTACAATTGGGGTGGGAATGTTGGTTGCAGTCCATGGGCCAATCCAGACCTGTTCATGACAAAACAGATGGATTTGCTCTGTGCTGGACCCACAAAGTAAAACAACAGCAGAGACTTCCAACAAGCAGCAGCCTCACTGACCTGTGCTGAATTTGGAGGTCTTGGTGTGATCTTCCACAGCAAAACACTTCCAGGGATAACAGAGACACTCTCAGAATCTGGCAGTGGCATCTCATCCGAGTCCTCAGTGTTGCCCACCTGCAGCACACAAAGGAAAGAGAAGTTCCCTGGAGTCAGGAACCATTGACACCCATTCACTCCAACACCAGAACTTCCATGAAATTATTCCCTTGAGCAAAGTTAAACCCATTTCAGCCACACAAGAAAGGCAGCAGCATTGCCACAGCACATCCCTACTCCCAGTTCCCTCCCAAATCCACCAACAGTTTATTCCACCAACATCTTTGTAGATAGTCTGGATGTTCAGGCATTAAGAAATGTCAATTTTCCACAACAGAGATGTCCCATTTTTTTTCCAAACACAAGTGTTCCCATGCCTGACACTGAACTCTGATTATCACACTGCTTTTAATCATGAACAGGTTGCAAAATAACCAGAACAATGTTCAGTCTCTCAGCTACCAGGGAGATAAACAGAGCTTTCAGCTGACTCCTCTGCACTGTGCTGGCAACCTTCCCTTCTGCCCTTTGAAGGACGTGGATCAATCCTTCAGAAATTGGCCATTTGAAGCAGAACAGATCAGAGAGAGATCCTTCTATCAAAAGAAAGAGACTTCAAAACTCCAAACCAGCTCTTACAGAAAGGCTAAAACACACACTGCACTTTGTGCCTCGGTGGAGACAATCTTAAAAGTATCATGAGAATTACAAAGAACTAAGGAAAAAGTGGATTTTCTTGTTTTCTTGCCACCACAATCCATATTTCATGCTCAGCACAGTGTTGGGAGGGCAGTAACAGGCTCTGCCAAAGCAAGACCCCTGGTATCTGCAGCTGAGGCAGGTGAGGGCAGTTGCTGTTGCCTTACATCATGCTCCTCCATGGATTTGCACTGAAAATACTGCATTAAATGCTTAAAAAAAAAAATTACTCCTGTTCATGTGGAGCAGAATCATCCTGATCTAACCCTAGGTCTGCTGCAACTCCTTTGCTGGGGGTGAAATATCACCTCTGCACACACGAAGCCTTGGTTTAGCTCCCTGCAAAGTTCTTTCCCTTAAGTTTTATCCTTACAAAAAGGAGTGGCATCAAAGCAGGTCCCCTGAGGGGAGGCAGAAGTGGTTCTTCATTAGTAGCAACACAGGAATAGGTGGAAAAGAACCAAATAAAGCTGAGAAGTCTCATCAGGAGACATGTGAAGAGCCATGTGGCTTCATGCTGAACGAATCCCTCACTACCATGAAGGGACAAACATCATCCATCAGATTTGGCTCACCTGGATGTTCAAACCTCACCCATATCAGCTCCTCAAACACAAGGGGGCAGTGGGGACACAGACTCTCTCATTCACAGAGCATTGCAAAGCTTTCTGTGTGCTACCCCACAGCTGAGGGGAAGGATCCTGCTCTCCTAGAGCCACAGCAGCTGGAAACACAAGAGGGCAGTGGGGACTCAGATTATCTCATTCACAGAGCTTTCTGTGTGCTACCCCACAGCTGAGGGGAAGGATCCTGCTCTCCTAGAGCCACAGCAGCTGGAGCTTTATGCAGCATGATGCTTCCCTTGGAGGTGAAAAGCAAGGAGTGTCTTGAGCATTGCTGGCAAATGCAAAGTGGAAGCTGACTGCAGACAAGGGATGTGTTTTTCTGTGCTCCTGGATCCCCAGAGCAGCAGGGTCAGCCCTGAGGAGCAGCAGTGATCCCCAGTGCTTTAGCAGTCTCCTGATGACAAGCACTGGAGCAACCTCAGCTATAGCAACAATCTGAACCTGCACTGAAAATTCCTTGCAGAGCTCTTCTAAAGTATAAAAACAACCAACACTCAAAACAACAAATAAATTGAGCTTCAGTCCCAGGGGAACAATCTCTGTATTAAGATACTATGGGAGTGGTTGCTCTTCATCAAGCTGCATGTTGTCACCATCACCATTCACCTTAAATAAAACTCATATTCCTGACCAGAAATCTGGAAGACTTAAAAGTGAGGGATTTTTTTCCCAGAAAAATAAAAAACTGGTGGATAAAAAAAAGCAAGTATTTCTCTAGCTGGGAAAATTGAACAGAAAGCAATGCAAAAATCCCTTGTAAAAGCTGGAAAATAGGATCTAATCAAGATGGGAAATTAGTCTGTCCTGCCTCTAGGAGCCCAGTCCTCCTATCAGACTATAAATATCATTATTTATGATCAGAACATAGCCTGACCAACAGAAATGCTGTTTCCTCATGTGACTTTGGAGGCTGAGGCAGATAATGAACCACCCAGTGTTGAGATCACGTTTTGGGAAGTCTGAACACAAATCCTGGCAAGAGAAAAATCATTTCATCCCTTAATGCTGGCACTCAGCCAATCCACTTGGTATCCTACTAGGAGAGGGAGGATAAGTGAAAAGAAATCTTAATGCTCTTAAATGCTACAAATATAGTTAGTTTTCTGAAGGGGCTTTTGAGATGCTCCCTCTTTGTGTGGTTAATACCTGTTTACTGCTTTTCTTCTCTTCTGCATTCTTCTTGTCATTTTTTTTGTAGGCTTCAAATGTAGCTGGGTCAATGCTGTACAAACACTCAGTCCACTTCCCATACAGTGCACAGAGCTTCTTTTTGCTGTCAAAAAAAGTTTAGAAAGGAGCTTAGAGAGATCTATTTCATCAGTTCAGGCAGAAATATCTGAAAGCAGAACTTCTGAGAGCGACTCCTGTTGGTGTCACACGACTCAGTTTGGCTGTTGTGGGCTCCTGCCCTTGGCAGCAGCATCCAGGGCACGAGGTTCACACCAAAGCCAGAGAGCAGCCCCTTGTTTCCCCATGAGGAATGAAGCTGTTACCTTTTGTCCTGAATGTAGCCTTCCACTTTGTGCAACTCCTTCCCAAAGAGGCCGCAGGGCTTGAAGCTGAGCACACATTTCTCCCCAGTTCTAAAGGCAGGACGAGAAGGCACCAATTACTTCCCAACATTTCTCCTCTTCCCACTTGGAGCAAGTGAAAGCTCCCACATTCTTCCACTTACTTGTGGTTAGTTATTTCCACGTTTCCATACTGCTCAATCCAGAGTTTGCCCACAATGATGTTATGCACACAGCAGGTAGGGTTTGTCCACGTGTAGGCTTCGTTGTGCCTGAGGGATAGAAATGAACACACAGGCTCTTTGTACCACTCCTGCAAGGAGCCATCATCTGTGAATCACACCAAGCCTTGAAATGGGCATGGCAGGGAGTCAGGAAGCCCAAGAGGCTTATTGGCCTGTAGCTACTGATTTTATCAGTTCCCTAAGACAGGCACTGTTAGCACTGGCTGACACGTGGAAAGCCAGGAGAGCAGCCTGCTGGTCTGGGTAGGACTCATGTCCAAGCCTCTGCAGATCACACACACCCCTCAACTCCTGCTCCTAGGAGGATGTTAGGAGAAATGATGGCAGTTCTCTTCATCTTCTCATCCCCTCCTCCCCACAGCCATCCAGCAAACACTAGGATGTGGCAGAGGTGTCCATGCCTAAAGCCACGAGGCTCTAGAGCACACAGATCCTCATGGATGCAGCCACTGTGCCTGTGCAATTATTACTGATCAACTTACTCAAGCAGCTCCAAGGTCATCGTGCCTTTTGGCTCTGCTTCCACGCTCTTGCCCCAGAATTTGAGTTTAGGATAAATTGATCCATGAAACACAAAGTCATTATTTAAACCTTCAGCATAGAAAGCACTGATGGGTGGGTGGTGGCTGACTTGCTCGGAGAGAAGTCTAAATCCAAGATCATCTCTGCAAAAGGAAGACAACCAAAAGCATTCAATCTCTATATCAGGTGTAGTGAAGTTGCCATTCTTTATTTTGTAAATAAATCTGGCTTTTAAACTTGGCAAATCTCATCTTTTTTTTTGGCCTTTCAGCTCTGAGCAGTTTCCCTTCCCTGGTAGGTGCACGGCTGAGCCCCAACACACATTGCAAGCACCTCCAGCAGCTGTGAGGAGAAAGGAAGAGCAGCCTGACAAGCCTGATGAAGCATCAGTTGCACAGAAGAGCACTCCCCACTCTCCAGTGGGTCCTCTGCTCCTTACCTGATCAGTTCATAGGTCTCTCCAAGCAAGGGGTTGAAGGGTTTCCCTGTTCTCTCCCACTGCGAGGCCACGGCAGACACAGCAAAGGCTGCAACACACTGTTCAAAAAGAAGAGCAGAGAGTTTGCCTCCTGCTTCTCAGCCTGCAGCAGCAGTGCAGAGTGATCCTCCTGAAACAGCTCAGCCAGGGGCTGTTTGCAAGGCTGGGGGATGAAAACTTTTCATGGAGTTTCCACCCCAAGGCTACGAAAGCAAAACGTTTTTCTGGATGGCAGAACCGGTTCGTGAAGGGGAGGATATGACCTGCAGCAAATCAGAGCTCCTGCTGAGGGGGTGGCTACCTGTGAAGGAAAGAGGTTCCCAAAGCCCCCCCCTGGAGCCCCCAGGGCAGTACCTGCATGCGCTCGGCGGGGCTGGGCAGGGAGCTGGCCCTGTGGATGAGGTAGGTGTGCTCCATGTACTCGGTGAGCCGCTGCAGGAAGCTCAGGGGCTCGTTGAATATCACTGGCATGGTGATCTTCGACAGCTCCTGGGGCAGGAATGAGACTGGGGTTAAAAACTCAACCACTTGGGGCCCACTGGCCTGCAGTAACCCCAGTGTAATTGGCTGATGACAAAAATAAACGAGGCTCTTAGTGCTAACGCAACAGGGCTTGACCTGGCTCCTCTAATGAAAAAAATCCTGCACATCCCTCCTGAGCTTGGGAAGATTATCCACACTGACATTAAGGCCACTGGGAAAACAAAACCCAGCCACCAAACCAAACTGCCCATCAACAAATGCATTGAGAAGGTGAGATGAAAAAATGGAAAGACTTTAGAGCCCTAATGGCTCAATGGTTGGACTTGATGATCTTGGGAGGTCCCTTCCAACCTAAAGGATTCTATGATTCACAGCCCTTTAAGTTATTTATTACTTTTAAAATAGATATAGGCCATCTAATTAGTTAAACATATCTTTTTTTGGAAGCAGAGGAGGAGGAAGGACAGGGAAACATGGCAGCATAGGAGTAAAAACAGGAATTCTGCATTCCACAGAAGGCATTTTTGTAACAAGCATAAAAATGTCAAAGCAGTCCTGCAGTTCTGAGGCAGTTTATTCCTTCCCTTGCCCATTTTTCTACAGCATACCCTCTGAGCACAGAAAACAGCCATGTCTAAACTGCCTGCAGCAGCAAATTAAAAGCACATCATATGACAGTGAAGAGCACTGTTCCTAACCACAGTGTCAGCATCTGGCACTAACAGCTTCAGCAGATACAAGTACAATCTGTCCCAACTTCTGCCCTCCCCAACTACAGCTTCTGTGCAGCAATTTCTGCAAAAAAAAAAACCCAAACAATGAAGACCTATATGGACTTTTTTGCTGCACACACCTTCCCCATGACAGCCCTTCAGTCTGCTCTTTGTATTCTAAAGGTTATAACTTCTCTGCTAGAGCCACTGTGAGAAACCTCAGCTGCTTCAGGACAGCTCAGGAGGTGTGGGAATGCCTCTGCCAGCAGCTCCACACCTCATTGCTCTGACTACAGCACAGGGAGGAGACAGCAGCTAGACACACATTCCCTTTTGTAGGCTACTGTGACAGGCCAAGAGAGGTTTAGCAGCAGGAAGAACCTCCAGCCTGCTGCAGGATCTAGTGGAGAGAAGAACTCTTCTCAACCCCCCCCTTAGCTGGGAGCAGATTAGGTGCCAAGCAGCTAACCTCTGATTTAGCCACCATCTGGCCACAGGGAGGAAGCCTGAGAGACTAAGAGGAAGGCAGAACAGCAAAATTCAAGTTGTTGGAGGTTTTTGGGTTTGTTTTTCCACAGTCAAAGTAAAAAAAAAATGCTATGATAGTACTTTAAGTGCTAAAATCAAGAGAAAATTCTTTACTGAAGGAGAACTGCTCTGAACCAGTCTTGCATTCTCAAATTGTGAGAGTAAATAAAGCATAAAGAGACAATTAAAAAAAAAAATCCCTCATTTGTGGCTCAAATGAAACAACCACTTGACATCTTTTATTATAGCTTTGATTACCTACCATTCCTATGCATTTTCTTAAGATACTCCAGATGCTGAAGTCATTCCTGGAAAACATGGGTGATGGCAAGCTCGTTCTGCAGAAAGGAAGAGGGAAGGAAGCAGAAGGAGGAAAGTTTTCCATTACTAACCATGACTAAGAAACCCAAATACTTTTTGAAAGTAACAGTTTTCCAGTTCTTAAATTAAAACCCAAGGGGGGGGGATGCCAGTGCTTGTCTGAAGCACTTCAACTGCTTTACCTGCACAGAGACCTGAACCTCTCCAGGCCCAGAACCATTCTGCAGAAGAGCAGTGGAAGGAAATGTCTCTATCAGTTATCAGAACAGCATTTGTCACAAGGACACCATTAAGATCTTTAGCTGGCTCTGTGAGGAAAGGGAAATCCTGAGTGGGTGCACAGGTATGTTCACAGGGTTTGTTTTTTGGCTGCTCAGCTGTAGACTGACAGTGAAGGGCCATGAGATTTATTGCCTGTGTTAAAACCCACCCTTAGGAACAACAGGGAAAAAGCATCATTAAAGAACAGAAAGCACTACAGGGGGCTGACATAGCCTGAAGAAAGTCTTAAAACCCTTTCAAGACCAACACTGAAGCTGTGTAATCCAGCCTGTGGTTCTCAGCTTTGGGAGAAAATGAGCACAGGTTTGATTTAGTTTTCTTAATGGATCATCTTGAACAATGTTAAACATAAAATTCTTCTGTGGCTGCTTTGATACAGATGTCCAGGAGAGGACAGTGTCCACCAAGTGTTCAGCTTTGCCTTCATTTGTAGTGTTTCCTTATGTTTTTCTGGGTATTCTTTCCTGAAGGTGGCTGGCACAGCAGGATCTGTGTTGAGGCAAGCTCTCCTGCATGTCAAACACACTCACATGCCCCAAGTTTGCTGAAGGACACACAGGGACTGTGTGCCTGAGGTATGAAAATTACATTTTTGCTGCATTTAACCTGTTGAAATTCCTGTTGGAATTGAGTTTCAGCCACATTTCTTACTTATTTTAGCCAAACCTGATGGGGGAGTCAGTTCCTTTCTCCACGTAATACACAAAGAACACTTTAAACCACCAGAAAAGATCTCAATAACAAGAAAAAACATCTGAAAAAAACAACAGGCAGCCAAAACTTGAGGCCCACCAACCTTGACACACTCCCTGTGATTAAGGGCAAGGTTTGGGAACACACCAATTTCCTTCCAGAGGTCAATTTTAGGAACAACTCAGGAAGTTAATTTTAGCTTTAAGTGGCAAAAACATCTGCTGATGTTCCATCTATCTGCTGGAATTTCTGTGCAGTAGATCAGATGAGATGCACTTAAAATCATCCACTTAAAAACACTTGATCTACTATAGATTATACTTTGGACAACTACTACAAGAGTCCATGAATGAGGAAGGAGACCCATGGTGTGGGAAAAGGCACATTTGGGTTGCTCTTCATGTCAACCTGGCTGAAAATCCTCCTGACTCCCCAAAAGACAAACCCATTTGGCATTCTGACCCCTGTTTTAAAGTTTGGCTCGGATTAAAAATTTTCTTCTTAAAAAGAAGTTATGTGACTGCTTCTAGATGTTGAATGGACTGTTCTCTCTCTCAGATCCTCTCCCAAAAAGTTTTCAGAAATGAAGTCCACTCTCCAAACACTCCATGAACCATCAGTAGGATGGAAACATTTCAAAAATCAGAATGAGACAGCTGATGAGTGGCACCAGCTTCACTTATCTTTAGATGTACATCCCAACACTTCCCATTGCTTGGGAGCAGGAGATTTATTCCTCCAAAACCAAAATAACCCTCCCCTTTCAACAACTGACCTTCACCTCCCTGTACAACCCTCCCCTCTCAAAAAAAGGGAAGAGCAGCTCAGGTTTTCTAGATGAAGTAGGAAACAATCTTATTTATAATGACTGCTAAACAGTGTTAGGTACTCTCCTGTGTAACCCACAGCCAGCTGCAGATCCTCCATTCATCTGAGGAACCACAGCAAGGCATCAAGATTTTAGGCAAAATAAATGAACTTCATCTATTCCTAGACATAGAAGTCAAAGAAAAATGCCATAGCAAACCCAAGGGTGTAAGGATGGAGTTAAGTGCTGTCCAAACGTTCTGACCCCCTCACAAGAAGGTTTCTGCTCCAAAAAGGACACAAGAGGCTTCACAGACAAAGGATATTTGGCCCTATTGCCCTTTAACTAGCCCCAAAATGAAGAGAGGCCCAAATTGCAGCCCCCAGCTCCATCTGCAGATGTTTCCACTTGTCTTTAGCAGTAAACTGTAAGCCAGCAGAACATGCACTTGTTTTACTCTAACCTCTCACTCTCTTTACTCCTAAAAGACAGCAACACAGAGACACAATTTATGCAGAGGTGCTGGTTCATTTCTTCTCACTCCCCTTTCTAAAACCAGCAGATCTTGGATGTTCCTGCAGCTCTGACAGCACAGTGCAGCATTAGGGAAGCTTGCAAAGTCACTTCTTGTTCAGAGCAACCAGAATTCCTGTTAAAACTCTTGGAGAGCATGGCAACACACATCAGCATTTTCATGTGGATCAGGATTTGCCTTTCTCCTCATTGTTTCCAAGGCAATTCAGAGGGCCACCTTCACCTAGTGCTTTCCCCCACCCCTGAACTTCCTGCTCTAATTAGGAAAGGCACTTAGCCAAGGCTATAAATATCACCTTGCTAACAGGACAAGAGTGCAAGAGCAACAGGCTTAGTCAGCTGCTTTGTGCTACCTTCCCAAAGCTCCCTGCTGCTCCACCCAGCCCTCATCTGCCTCAGGCTTTGCCTAGTATGGGAGGGATACACATGCAGAGGTTGAACCTTGAAACATCAGGTCTCTGACATTACCACTCACTGCAATTAACTAGTTCAGATAGTGAGTAATTAAAGCATGTCTTGCTTGGTTCTGTGAAATGAGCATTTCCTTCCCTGCTTTTTTACAGGATTCTGGTGTCCCTGTCATCATCCTGCACTTTCAAAACACTTCCAAAGTGGTCTGTTTGCAACCATCCTGGAGTCTGGCTTGATCCACAGCACAAATATTACATTGCCCTTTCACTGAAACTTGAGAATAGTGGTGTCTGTTACATCTCATTAACTCCAGACCCATTGTCCTGCTTGATCAGCAAAGAAACAAACAAAAATGGATCATTTGACAACACAAAATAAGCACATAAAACATGGATGAGACTTTTAGAATAAGACTCCCTTTGTTCAACGTTTGAGTTTCTGATGTTCTGAATATTTTTTCATTCATTCCTCAGACCAACTGAAGGATCAAATGGCTGGAAATTAAAGAGGCAATAGGAGACACAGGTCATTAAAGATCCATGAAGGAATTAAAATCCACATAGATTTCAGTAAGATCTATTAAAACCCAAGTTTACAGAGCACATCATATTTTAACTTAATTCAGATTCCATCATCATAAAAACAAGATGCAGAGGAGCACACGAGCCTGGGAACAACATTCTTTCCAAAATCATAGCACAACCAGCTGCTTGTCAGTCATCCCTGATGAAGTTTTAGGCATTTACACAGTCAGCTTTCAGAGATTCCTGTGCTCTTTCACTCACCAGGAACCCCTTAAAAAGAGGCAACATCCTACCTGTGTTTTTTGATCCCGTTCGCCAGCAGCTCCCCGCTGCCACAGACCTTCTCTTCAGACATGCTTGAAGTTATTGTCTCTTTGGAGTCCATGCTGTCCTCTAAGGAGTAGGCTGTTGTTTCAAACCCACTTAAGGATTTTTCAGATTCTGAATCTGCAAAAGAGCAGGGGCATGGTAATGACTGTACCCCCCGTGGCAGGCTTCGGTCACCGGCAGATCTTCCCTCCTTGCACAGAACTGAAACCTAAGGAGGCTGCTGGGTCCTGATGACAACATCCATTTGGTAAGTAACTAGTCCTGCTGCAGCTCTGTAGCTAGACAGAAAGACTGCATGATAAGCAAAAAATGCTGCACAATTAAAAACCCTCTGTTGAACAGAGCCAAAATCTGGCTTTTGGATTAAATAGAAGCCCCTACAACTTGCTTGGAGCAAGTGCCAGTGGCACACAGATGCCAGGACCTCACCTCAACAACAGTTACCTCAAGATTCAGCTACTGCCTCCTCCATCCACACAAGATTTCAGTTCAGTCCAAGTTCTTAGACGCTCAGGGCTGTCCAGCAACCTTCCCTTCCCAACTTCCTGAACAAATATCAAAGTACAGGAGGAGATACTGCACGCAGCAGGTTGCAGAGCTGCCCAAGTCCCAGCAAAGTCTAAATTATAAGCTCCCCAATCAATAAAATAAACTTTGTACTCTGGAAGGAAGGTTAACAGTACAATCCACATCACAGCTAAAGCTAAACCCAACGCCATCTTATTTCCAGCTGTGTTTTGGTCAGGTGGGGCTTGGCCAGCTCTGGAGAATAGTGTTGCCCCAAATCAGAAAGCAAAACTTTGCTGGCAAAAGGCTGTGTTTTTGTTTGGTTCATGGTTTTCTTTCAAACCTGACAAGACTGACAAAGGATTATCCAATTGCAAGCTCCAGGAAGCAAGGGAGCAGCTCAAGACAAGTAGATACACCCATTTCTATCCCATTTGGGAAATCCTTCAGTAGAAAGCAAGCACAACACTGAGTGGTAAACAGCTGAGGCCTCTCTGCTCCTGAAAGAAGCAAACCCAAGCTGTAGCAGACAGCATTTTGCTCACGTGCTTCTTCCAGCATATGCTGCTGCTCCTGGCTGCAAATAGCCAGAGAAATAATTGCAAGGTTAGTCATTCTCTCACAGAGATTCCAATTCAAACCTAGTAACCAAAACCTGCTGGAGTAGCAGTCCCTCCAAAAGAATCTCTCAGTCACAGCCGTCCATTGCCAGGGGCTTTCTTCTTTTCTCTTAAAATATGTCTGGAGTTTCTCCAGGACATGTGAATTCCATGTTGTTTTGGGGAAGGGGATGGTAGCAAGGGGACTTTCCACTACATCCAGATGACAGAAAGGTGAAGAACAGCACAAAATCCCAATAGATGGATGGCTGGGCTGTGCCACAATGTCTCCATCCTCTCCAGAGACGAAGCCCTAGGAGCATAAAGAGATCTTTCCATTCATTAAAACCATCCATCCCTACCCACACCAAGGCAGTGCTGAAATTAAGGCAGTTGCTAGGAAATGAAAAGAACTGCCAGCTGGTGCTGAGAATATGTTAAAAGAAGTGGACTGGCACTCCAGAGAATCTTCTCACAAGTTTCTCCAAATTTGTCAGTCTAGTTCTGCGCCAAATTATGACATAACATATCAAAGCATTAGTTTGGTGGGTACTATATATAACAAGTAGGATAAGGAGAAGCATTTTCACTTGTGGGCAAGTCTGTTACATAAAATCCAGACTTCTCCAGAGATCATAAGCCCAGGTAGTCAGGAAAACACTGTTCCATATCCAGATATCACAGAGGAAGAGACACTAGCAATGTAACACAAGTTGGGGCTCAGCATCCTGACCACACAACCAGCTATAAATCCCTTCACAGCAAGTGCTTCCCCTCTCTCCTGAAAGAGCTGCTCCACTGTTTTATTGCTAAATAAGAGAGCATGCTGCACACTAAAGAACAGTACAAGGCATTGCTGTAAGAAATAGCTCTTTAGAAACATCCATTTTCCTGAGAAACATCTCTCACTGAGACAGCAGCAGCTCCTGCCATCAGAGGTCTCAATTTCCAGTCCCTAAACCTCAGCTACCCCCTTTGACCTGATGAATTTAAGAAGCCCTGAGTGTTTGCTTAGGTTTCAGAGTGAACAAGCCCAGTGCTGCACTGTGAGCACAGACCAACAGGCAACTCCAGCTGAGTTTTTTTTTTCCCTGGGTACTTGCAGCTCACTCTTTTCTGAATTAAGATTTGCATACTCCCCCGTCCCTGCAAAAAAAAGATTTCTATTCACAAGTTGCTGCAGAGCAGCTGTCAAACAGATGACTAGGAGAAAATGAGGGGTTTTTTTTCTATTGAACTTAAGGGGGTGTGGGCTGTGGAAGGGGGAGAAGGAATTAAAGCCCCTGTTCAGAAGCCAAAATTTCTAAGTGATGGCTGAGAGAGACCAGGCTGACTAGGAAACTCTCCAGCTCCTGAAACCTGAGGTGCCAGGGTAACAGCAAAACCAGCAGCTATATTCTGCAAGAGTGGGAGAGCAAAGGGAAACAGCAGAACCCCTGACAGAAACTTCTGGGAAGTTCATCTCCTGCTGCAACAACTGCTTGGTCTTCAGCTGCAGACAGAGCAGTTTGGCTGATGGGTTTGGTTAATAAATCCCCCTGTGAAAAGGGGTGTTTCACCACTGGGCTGGAGTGCTGCCCAAGTGCTCCCTGTTCCTCTCTGAGATAACCTTTCACTAGATTCAAGGCAAGAAGCCCACAGTGGTCTCAGAGCTTGTGGAGTATTTTTCAAAAAAAAAGCCACTTGCCCAACTCTCCTGAGCATGGATGGAAGGAAGGGCAGGTAGTTTCTCTGCTTTTTTGTACAATTTTTACCTGTCAGTGAGCTGAGAACTGGAGACAAGGTGGGAAGGGAGCAAAAGCAACAGAACTAGACTCCTACTTTTGTGCCATTTGGGAGCATTATTTATACACACAGCACCTATTAGTGGCACATAACAGATGAAGCTGTGCTATGACATCTTAGCTTGAATATAATCTAAATATTCCTGTAGCCAAGTAACTGCTTTTATAGTAAGCTTGCATCTGTGTAAAGCCATCAATACCCCCCCTCAACACACACAAAAGCTGTTTGCAGAAAAAAACCCCACCTCTTAGATAAAACCCACTAAAAAGCCAAATCAAGCCAGCTCTAAGCTCTCCCCAAACTGTGTGTGCAATTTGCATATAATCAGGGAATCTGAGGCACAAAAATCAAATACCTTCACCCTTTAATTCTTGACCTGCTTAGCTGCTTTTCAGCCCTGTGGATGGACCCTGGACTTGTTCTCCATTTTCATGTGATTTCTGAGGTCTGTATACTTCAAAGCTAATAACTTCTCCAGCTCTCTAGGAGATGGCATTTGTCTTACTAAATTTTGCTCCTTGTTTAGTGCTTCTTCCCTTCCTCTGTGCCCCTCCTCCTCAATCCACCCCATCTTTCTTTCAACCTAGAAGAAGAGTTGGACACATGAAGCATCCAGTGCTGAAATCCAGAGCTCCAGCACCCCATGTGGTATGGAGTTGAAGGAGACCTTTCCACCCCTCCCAGGAGGAAAGGACCAACACCAGCAAGCACTCTGAACTAACCTATTGCTATTAGAGTTCACACCATGCTTTGGCAAGAGAAGTGACTCCTGTAGGTTGTTCCTGCCATGGTGAGTGTCTGCTCTCCTCCTGCAGGGATTTAGGAGCCACAGTAACACCCTGTCACTTCAAAACAGGAGAGACTTCAGCAAATAAACTGCTGCTCCACTAGGCAACCTGACCACACTTTTCTCACCTCAGTTTTGGAAAACAAAGAGGAATATTTCTGTGATTGTGCCCAGGATTTCTACAAACAGAACTACACAGCACAGACTTAGCAGTGACCAGTTTAGTCCATGCCAAGACTAGCAGGGAGCATGGCTCAGCTGGAGCCAAACAGATGGTGCTGAGGACACTGAACTAGATATGTTTCTGGTGGTGTTTTCTTCAGATTAGCTCTACTCCCCTACCATGGACTCAGTGTCCAATAGCAACCAGGCTGTATCTTCTGATTCAGCTTCATTCAGGAGTCTGGTTCATGCAGATTGCTCTGCAATGTGAATCAGAGCATGGTAAATGGGGACAAGTAGCTGCTGCTGTGAAAATACCCTTTCTAAGCTGCTTCCTGTTCAAAACCCTGTTTGGAAGTCTTGCTCTGAAGCAGAAATCTCTACCTAATATGCAGACAACACTCATAAAAAGCAAATAAGAGCAGCAGTGGCTTCTTCTTTCCACTTGTCAAGTCAAACCTAACGATTCCTCAGCTCAAAGTGCAAGCCAAGTTATGCAATACTCTCACTTCTAAACTCACTCCTACAGGGGAGTTTTAAAAATTCAGAGAACTGTAGCTAGAAAAAATGGTATCCCACTAGGAAAAATGCTCCTGAAATAGTGGCATTTTTCCATCAACAGACATCAGAACTCATTGCATCCCTCTGTTAAAATACACTGGGGTTTGTCCTGTGCAGCCCAGCAGGGTAATTCATGAACGTCTCTGTTCATCCAAAATCAATATCATTTCACTTAATAAAATACTATCTGATTGCAAATCAGGTTTAGCAAAACCTTGGAAGACAGAGTCCTAGTAGTCTAGATTTCTGGAGATAATTTTTTAGCTTCTGACAATTAGGATTAGCCACTGCTCTCTGTTTTGAAAATATTAATGATCACATTCACTGGCTCATTAGCCCAAGAAAGAAGATCACCCACATCCCCAAACTGAGCCAGTGTCATATACCCCAAGTCCTCTACTTCACTATATTCTTGTTACAGGGAGGCAAGAAATCTTCTAGTTTAGACTCCACAGACATGGCAGAAAAGCAAGAAGGCTAAAAATTATTACTGGGATCCCAGTGATGAGTGAAAAAATCCACCCCATGCTTCATCTACAAAAAACTAATGAATTTTGTGCTTATGATGAAAGTCCTGACAGGCATCCAGCAGCCAGGAAAATGTGTCACATTTCCCTTTCTCCAGCTTCCCCCTCCAAAAAAAATCAGAGTGCCCTTCCCCCAAGCACGTGCCTTCAGAGCCAGAGAGGACCCCAAGCACTGCATGTGACCCACCTAGAGAGGAACATCCAGCACAAGCCTGATGAAGCTGACAGACAGTCAAAGAAAGTGAGTTTGCCCTGGAAAATTATTTAAATTGCAGTCAAGATGAATTATGTCAAGGAACTGCTCCCAGAGAAGAAAGGATTGACATATATGTCTTTTATATGAATATATCTGTGTGTATATATACGTTCAACATGTTTCACAGTTACACAAATCCAATCAGTGTGATTTGTTTGCAGCTTCAAGTGACAAAAACTTCACCTCTCCAATTAGAGAGGAGGCTTGGGTCAGTTCCACTGGGGAAGATGCAGAGGCTGGGGCAGTTATGAGATGTGCAGACTATCAGCTCCTTAAAGCTCAGTGTTCTCTCAGACACTCAAAGGCAGCCTGGCTGGAGAGACCACATTCCAGCAGCACCAGACAAACCCCTCTTCTTTTGCTTTGTTGCAACAAGCAGAAGAGCCTGAGGCCTTTCAGCAGAATTATTCTTTAGGTTCTGCTTGAAGAACCTGTTTCTAGGGTTCCTCAATCTCTTCTCCTCCTTGGAGGCTGGATAAATTTGCTGCAGTGCCAAGCAGCACTTTTCTGTTACAGTTACAGCAGGTTCAGCCTCAAGCTTTTCCAGACCCCTCACAGTTGTAGAGAGTTGTGTGCTGCATCCACCCAGAGCTCCTGCTGAGCTGCACCATGTACAGCCTCTCTATAAACTCATGCTGTAATGCAGTTCAGAGTTTTCCAAAAAGCTCTATTTGCATGTTCTGCCCATGGAATAAAAAATAGACCAGACTGAAGAGTAGACAGGAAAAGAAAATATATCTCAGAAACACACAGAGGATTTTGATTCAATCTTTTCCTCCATCTGTGACCCTTAGGGCATGCAAAATTGAAACAGAACAAGCCTCCCTTAGCCTTATTACCCCTCAAAACTAGGGATTTTTTAAGGATTTATCTTAACAACAAAAGAAAAAACACACAGCACCATGGAGAAAGCAAGTCAGAAGGCTACCAGAGACAGTTACATCCCCTAAAATAGGACCCTTAAGTTTTGCTCTTTAAAAAAAGGGTGTAGACACTCCAGCAATCAGACCTCTCATCCCTGCCCTGTGGTTTTGTGACTTTTTGTCATGCTAAGGTGAAACAACAGTTCTGCAGGTGAACTCAGGCAAAGTTTTAGAGGCCCTCTCATCAAACACATGAAGCATTCTGCTAAAATGAATGCCATGTTAGAAAGGCAGAGGTTTGACTTCAAGTGAGACTGCTCCCACACCCTCATCCCCCTCCAAACTCATTCACCACACGTGCCAGACACATCCTGGATGTCTTTGCTTACCTGAAACAGCATCATAGAACTGCTCTTCACTGAGGATGCTGAGGGGTGGAGATCCCTTCACCAGAGACTGCTCTAGTTCATGGTGTTCAGTAGCTAGTGTCTCTAATGCTTCTGACAAGATCTTGTTTTTCTCCTGCTCATGCTCCAGTTTCAAATTCCTCACCTATAAGTAGACACATGTATGAATAAAATCTCATCTCTCCAAAGAATGTGTAGCTAGAAGCTGTTCAGAAAATAGACTCCAACATATCCATTGGGCTGGCAAGCAGCTGGAAGTGGAACCACATGGGTTATGAGAATATGACAGTATTTTTGTGATCACAACAAGGGGGTAACTCAGCAGCTCTCAGGAGATGAGGAAGGTGACAAACAAGACCTGACAATACAAATCACAGTTCCACAAGTGAATTCCAGGCAGAGAACTAGATCTTAAAGCTGATGGGAAACATTTACAACTCTGCCTTACCCATGGAGTGAGGGATTGGTTTCTACACACACCAAGCACCCTGCACTAGTCTGCTCTAATTTGGGCCAAGCAGCATCATCTAAATTGAATTAGAGAGCAAATGGGAATGTGGCTACAAATAACTGCAACTGAACTAGGAGCTGAAAACATTTAACCCTGGGGGTTACAGATGGAGGTTAAAAATGATTCCTCTGCCAACTGATTTAACTTGGATACCAAGATCCCTCTCTCTCCACTCCCCAAACAGCTCATGGAGGAGCCAGAACCTGACAGAAAAAGAAGCCCAGCCACCAGATGGTTGACTCTCTTTTAACCTGACATGCAACTGGCTCCAGAGTGGATGATGTTATCCACGTTTTTTGAGGCCAGGACTAGTAAGGAAGGACATGTTGCTCTCCCATATTTCCTCCTCCTCCTCTTTGCTGGTGCTCCCCTGTGTCCTTTCTGCCAGGGGAGGGGAGAGGGCTGGAGCTGCAGGCTCAGCAAGGGGCTCTGCTCCCACCCCTGGCTCCAGCATGCTACTTCTCCCTCAGTCCCTAAACCACCAACCCTTCTCCTTTTCCTTCCTTCCTCCCTTCCAGCCCCTCTCTCAAAGCACCCCAACCCCTGCCTCATCCTCTCCTTTACTCTCCAAGGTCAGTTTACAAGACTAATTCCCCCTCTGAGAACACACAAGGACGTGGCAAACTCCTGGAACAGTTACAGGGACAGCTCACAGGCTTTCCTAGGCAACTTACACCAACATTACCTTTAGGAACTCTTCCTATGTCCCTTTTGATTGCATTTTACATTAAAAGCTTTACTTTGGAGGCTGCAGCCCCCTCAGTTATAACACACATTCCCAGAGTGGATTCAGAGCTGGGCACAAATGAGGGAATGCAAATTTAGAGGCTGGAAAGGAGATATTAAAGCAGATTTGCCACTTCCAGAGAAGAGGAGCTCTGCTGGCAGCAACATATCCTCTGGAGAAAGATTTATGGAAGGAATTGTCACCCCCTCAGTCGTGCAAACACTAAATCAGCTGGTTTGGCTGCCAGGCTCTCAGTGTAAAGGGGCAATCCAATTAAATGATAATTAAAAGAGTATAAAATGGGGTTGCTAATTGAAAGCAGTAAAACCAGTAAGTCACTTACCATCTAATGGTTTTACTCTCAAGGAAATGAAAGAAGTCTGGACTAGTTACTGTCACTTTCATTTAAAGTTCTCTCTGGCAGTACCAACACAGCCAATTACTGCAATGTTTCACCCAGAGCAGACAAGCCCCTGCAAAGGAGCTGCTATTAAGCAGTTTCTGTGGGGGCTGCACTTTGTAGGCTATCAAATAGTTAAGGAGCAGCCTCTCCTGAGAGAGGGAGTGTGGAGGACTGAAAAGAAAATGGTCCTTTCCATTCTTATTCAACAGTGAATAGATAAATTAGTAAAATAGTCTCTGCTCTTTTTTTATGGTAGTATTGAATTAAGACACTTTTATGATCTAATATTGTTTTGATAAATGACTTGAGTGATTTAAATCTAAGTAAAAACTTCAGTTTCAATATTATTTAACAGCAAATTGAAATGTTTCTATCAAAACCCAGCTGAGCCTCTTTTATGCATCTTTTAAAAGCACAGTAGTGTGACTAAAGTAGCAACAGATACTCCAGACACCAAACTTCCCCCAAAATGTCTTTCATTGACTTCAAGGTTCCTCTGCCCTACCATAAACGTGGAGCTATTCAGAATGGCAGAAGGTGTAGTACAAAAATCCCCTTTTTGGAAAATAAATAGCCACTTTTATTGTGAGGTTCCAGGCTTCCTAGTCACCAAACACTTAATAGCACAGCAATTAAACACTACTAGTAGGTCACCAAAAAAGCTTTTCATTTGTTACATGAGCAGCACCAGGCTAGCCAGAAGCTATGGAGAAAACATGTTTAAGTTTGTTGCTTGTAAGCTTCATTCCTATCTGAATAAACTGGTCTTAAAACAACCTTAATTCAATACCTGGGGGCTGGAGATGAAAATCCAATGTAAAACTTCTACCAACAGTACTGAGCTCGTGGGACAGACACATCCAGAGCCAGGAGGTGGCTCTGTGAACCTCTACAGCTATGTCCTTAAACCACTTCTACAGTGTCAGTGTGAGAACTAGGAGAAAACCAACCAGCCAGGGTTCTACCACCATTATTGGACTGATCTCACCTGTAGAAAAGCAATGTTTGCAGAGGTGGAGCAAGAAAACCTTTGTGTATTCACTTTAAAAATACAGGCAACACTGGAGAAATAATTTTGTATGAAGTACCCTGTTTCTTTTTACTTTTTAAACACAAATTGATGAGATTCATCTCCCAAAAACTTAGTGATTTGACTGTAAAAGCAGGATGGTTTGGTTTGTTTGGGGCTTTTTTGGTTATTTTGTTCCCCTCCCCACCCAGAACCACACACTCCACTCTTCCAAGCTTAACAAGATATATGCAGCAGGTTGGCATGTTTTTCAAAGCCTAAGTTTATTGAACAACAATTGAGCAACTGAGTGATAGCCTTTCCCAAAATAAGGAGGAGATTGGTATTATGCATAATTTTACCACACTATTTTCCATTCACAAGACTTGGACAGTGATCAAGTTCTGAGGTGAATTATTCCACTTCCCTGGCTGCTCCATCAACATTTTTGGAGATGACACTTCACCTTTATCCCATTTCCCAAAGTGCTTTCTTCCCCATCCTGTTTTCAGTGTCCAAAATGAAAAATAACTGATTACAGAAGGACCCTCCAGACCAATTTTAAAAATGCTTATTAACACAAAATCTTTAAAATGTATGTATGAAGCAAGAAGACAACCATAAAACAAAGAAAATGCCCACTTTGAGAAGCACATGCATTTCAGTCTGTTAAACTGGGTGCAGTCTATTAAACTATTAACATTTTACTGATTCTTGTTGCTGGTCCCCACAATGCCAGTGCCACCACCAGTGGCACAAGCACTGAGCTTCAGAGGGACAGCAGGACACAGCACCCCTCTGAGCCTGGCAGGAGGGCAGCTGAGTTCCCAACGTTCAACTAGTCAGCCCCTACTGACTACTTACCTGACCCTTCTCAGAAGCCATTCTGCACCACAGCAATTAGTTATTGATAAAGTTGGGCTTGTGCCTGCCCTGTTAGACAACAACAGTTAGGTCTTCATCTCTAAAGAGAGCATTAACAGTGAAACTTCAGATTTCTAATAGCAGATGGAAACTCTCTAGCTTTGTCTCACAGCAGTAAACAACCAGCCAGTCATTAACCTTCCAGCTATGGACACAGCTATAAGCTGAAACTCACACACAATGACCAAGACTTCTAGGTCAAGGCAACAATTTATTATTTTACCAAATACTTCCAGCTGAGGAGGTTTGATATCCCATGTCCTGGTCACTGAGTTCACTTCTGATTCAACTGGATGGGAGTTGATTCTCACGCTTTCCCATAAATATTTGGTTGCATCAGGCTGTAAGCACCAAATTGTGAGGCTAAACAGTAGAATTGAGTTACTTAATTTATTAAACCTCTCTTTTATTTTTTATTTCCCCTCAAGGAAAGCAAGAAGCACATAGTCATGCTATTAGAAATCCTGCTAAGCACAAGAGTATGGTTTAAAAGTTAACTGCTTCACTATGTCTCACTATCAGAAAGCTCACATGCCTATTCCAAAATACCAAAAAGCTGATCTTTAACAAAACACAGTCCTGTTCCTTTCTGTACCTTCAGCTTCCAGGAGGCAGCAGCAAACAACTATATATCTTTTTCCCCCCCCTTTTCATTTTTTAAAGCCTGAAGTCTTGAACTATTTCTCTTTCCATCCTGAAGGCACTGCAGTACAATACACAAAATACTTGCTTTGTTTGGTGCTGGATGCTTTTAATTTAAATTAATGCCCAACAACAGTGGCACTTTTGTGGGGTAGGAAAGGGTCACACCACTCTATGCCCAGCTATGAACAATCTACATGCTACTGTAGCTGCAAGTAAATCCTAAAAGCAGCGAGGCAGCAAGGCACAGAACAGACACCTCCACAAGATGTAGGGCTGCCAGCCTTTGGAGTAGTAAATTAAAAGACAGGACAGCTTAGCTCTAGCTTCTCCTGGACTGAGACAGAGAAAAGAGATTTCACAACACCACAGGGTCATTTAGTTGAAGAATGCCCCAAACTATGCAGAGTTTGAGTTGTGTAGGAAGGAAGAACCACCTCTTTCACACAGCAACCACCAAGGGATCTGCAGGCAGGCTGCTGCCAGGAGCCTCTGCACCCATTCTGCTGCAAGCTACTCAGAAGCAGGGCTTTGGTTTTCAAAAAGAATGGCTTTGTCCAACTACCACAGCAATTCCATCCTCCCCAAAACATCACTGCTGATGGGGCATTTGCTGTGAAGCACAGACACAAGGTGCAAGTTTTCAGGAGCAAGCGAAGGGGGAGCCTAACACCTGGCTGGAAATCCACATCTAACCAAGGAGTTAGAAAAATGCTGCTGTAGTTGAGCTGACAGCTTTCTGTGGACATCTCCTGACGTTAATAAATGCAATCCTGCTCTCTGTAATGAAGTAAATGCCAATCAAACCTGTCACTTGGCTCACACTCCATCTAATTAGATAAGACTGTTGGTTTCCGGGGTCAGCTGCTCCAACAGGACGTACCACCCTGAAAAACAGAACCTACAAAGCTCTGCTGGAACAC